ACTTGTCGAAGAGGAGAGCATAGTGTCTGCAGAGCACTCAGCTCAGCACAAATGGGACATCTGTATCTACTCCCTACTTCCAAAGGGGGCCGTCTCAGAAGATGGGACAGAAAGATTGTAAGAGCCAGAGGCTGGGGATGACTAGAGTGAGTGTCTGCTGCACAGGACGGTCCTGATGCACTCACAAACTCAGAGCAGCTGTGGTTGTCCGCACTCGATCTGCTCATCAAGCCAGTTCACATTGTGGCACGGGGGGGGGGGGGGGGGGGGGGGGGGGGGGGGGGGAGTGGGGGGGCTCACAAGCCCCTCTCTCTAGCCGAGGAATCAGTTGATGACTTCTAGGGGATCGAGAATAAGTTGACCACCTTCCAGTGAATGGCCCCACACTTACAAAAAAGTGGGCAGCATAAACTGTAATCAGTGGGCTATAATAAAAAAAAAAGGTACAAATTGGGATGGGTTGAGATATAGAGCTGGGAAGAATTAGAGGGAGGGATGGGGGATATTGTCAAAATACATTTTATGCATGTATGAGATTCTAAAACAATATATTTAAACAAAATAGTTATTTTTTGTGCTCCTTGTTCTGTACACAAATAGTCATGACAACTATAACTTAATAGTTTATGACAAAGGACAGGGGATAGTGGGCATCAAACAGGAATCAACGATTATTTTATTAGTTACTTATCTTCCTGACATAAGCAACTGAAGGAAGAAAGATTGATTTTGACTCCCAGTTTCCAGGTGTGGTCCACCATGTTGAGAAGGCAGTAGGAGGGAGAGGTGGCTGGTCACATCGCATCCCTAAGCAGAAAGCAGAGAGATGGATGCTGGTGCTCGGCTCCCGATACCCTCCATATTCGGTCTCAGATCCAAGGCCAAGGCATGGTGCTACCCTCATTCATGGTGTATTTTTCCCTCCTCAGTTAAACCTTTCTGTAAATACTCTCATAGACACACCCAGAGAGAGGTCTGTTTACATGGTGATTCTAAACCCAGCCAAGTTACAATGAAGATTACCCATCACAAGTATGGCACGGGGCTCCTGTGATTAGCATCATAAATATGGGTATCACTGCACAGGCTGTGTTTGAAATCTTGGTGTCCTCTTAGGCTCTTCTTTCTGTATTATCTCCTGTGCGGTCTGTCTGTGCTGTGCTTCTGTCCACTCACTCATTCACACTAGCCTGGGGTGGATCCTCTTGCCTGCAATGATTAATACAGATTTCCCCCCAAGCAGAGGTGGATTCCAGGGTTTTGATAACAGGGAATAGAAGTGAGAGAGAGGAGAGAGCAAGACAGAAGGCAGAAAAGCCAGCATCAGGATGCATTACGGTGGTGACAAATTACTTGGGCCGTGGAGATGTGATCTCATGGGGATCATGAAGGAAGGATAGAAAATGTCTTCCAGAACAGTCCTCCTGAGTGCTGAGATTAAAGGCATGTGCCACCGTTGCCCAGCCTGCTTGAAAATCTTTAATATCAACTTTTCTTCATGATAGTCTGGGGAAAAGCCAGACTCCTTTTGGTGATATTCCAGCTCCTTGTGAACTTAGTTCAAACCCGTAACTCTTAGAGAAACCTGGAAACGGTCAGTCAGCATCGTTTGAATATGCCTAGGGACTCCAACTCTTCATCTGGGCATGCTCTATCCTCTGCCTGGAGAATGCCCTTTCTCCTTAGATGCTGAAATCCTATCCAACCCTCAAAGGACAGTTCAAATGTCACCTGTATCGCTTTCAATTGTTGCATAACAAATTACTGGGGACACAGTGGCTTCCGTGGTTTGAATGTACAGTCTCTCCCAAACTCATGCTGAGATTTAGTTACCAATGAAACAGTGTTGAGGGGAGAGGCCTTAAGAGGTTCAGTCCCATGAGGAAGGTCCCTGTGAGTTCAAAGCCAGTCTCATCTACACAGTGAGTTCTAGGACAGCCAAGGGCTGCACAGAGAGACCCTGTTTCACTCCCCCAAAGTAATTAGGTCATAAGGGTTCTGTCTTCCCTGGGGAGTTTAATGCCTAAGCTAAAGGGCTTTGGGGAGCAGCTCTCTCGACTCTTCTGTCTTCTGCCTCCTGAGTCCCAGTCTTTCTTCCCTCAGAGGGTACAGTATGCCAAGTCACCTTGGATGAAGAAAAGCTGCCATGTTTCTTTTTTCTTCCTTTTTATTTTCCCATTTCCAAAACTGAGTGAATACATTTGTTTGTTATACTTTGTTCAGTCTCAAGCATTATGTTAAAGCACGTGAAGAGCCACTTAATTAATGCCTCGACCTAAGGCGATAGGAGGCTGAGGAGGCTCAGCTGGGCTCTCTGCTTAGCGTTTCACAGGTAGAAGTCGAGGTGTTAGCCGGAATGGGTGGTAACCTGGCATTCTTGAGAAGAATTGGATTCCAGTCTCCTCCAGGCTCTCGGCCAGATTGAGTTCCAAGTGTCTATAGAAACCAGGGCTATGTATCCTTATTGGCTATTGGCTGGGGAATGTTCTCAGGGGCCCTCTCTGTCTCAGCAATGCAGAATTTGTGGCACTTTACAGTCCTCTTCACATGGAGTTTCTGTGACTTCCTCTACCACCAGCAGGAGTAAACTGCACTTTTAAAGGGCTTCCGTGATGAGACTGGTCCCACCAGGACATAAGGCGACATGACCGTGGGGGTGACGTCTCTCATATGCACCCAGTTCATTGCCACAGGGAAAGAAAGCATACAAGCGTGAGTGGGTGTCAGGGTTAAGATTAGAATTCTATCTCACCACCACTTCCAGGCCTGTCCTGACTCCTGGTGATGAAAACAATCTCCTCTGCACTTTGCAACACTTCATGCTAATGAACTCATTATGCATGCACCCGACTCACTATGATCTCATTTTCCTCTCCATGAGTGAAGGCCCTTGATTTTTGCTTACTTTCCATTTGTCTTAGTGTGGGTTAATTAAAATGTGATTACTATTATGCTAGAAGATATTTCTGTATTGCCTATATTTAAATAAAAAACCGTATAGAAGACAAAATGTGAAAACCATTAAAAGAAATGTAAAGTGAAGTAAGTGAAGTCTCTAAGAAAGTATGTATTATATATTCAATATAAGAAAGAGAGACTCTTGCTATTGTGCCCAGGGTACTCCTGGGCTCAAGTAATCCTCCTGCCTCAGCCTCTCAACTGTTTGGCACAGTAAGTGAGCATCACCAAGCCCAGCTGGAATATAGTTTTTTTTCAGGCATTTTTCTCCTGACTTTCTTGGTTCTGTCTTCTTGGTGTGTTGAAAATTTCCTTCTGGTTATTGGCCTGTACATTCTCTTCCCTTGAAGATGTACTCTCAGACTTACTTAAAGTTCTTAGTTAGGTATCTTGCATTATCTGAAGGAACCACTTAACTTACCACTGTCCACCAAGACTGGCAAACACCTCTCGTCATCTTTAGGCTAAACCAGTTTTGGGTAACAGCCTAACTTCCCACCAGCCCATCTTCATCTCCCATTCTCACAGGCTGTTTGCAAATACTGTCTCACTCTAAACCAAACACATTCATCCCCAGAGGTGATTGTGCTAACCTGGCCGATGCTGCTACAAGGTCTCCGCTCATGTCAGCCTTGTGTTTGGGAGGACCCAGGCTGTCATTTGGGTCAACAGGTTCTGCTAGTTAACCTGAAGTCCAGGAAGATGCACGTGATATGTGTCCTTGTTGGGACATTTAGATCCACATAATGTACTTGGGCCCGTCTTAGGACATAGTGATTTATAACCCTTTTTATGATCACCTAAGACTTTTGACAGCCTTGAATATAGGAGAAGAAATCTGACAGTTCATGAACTTTAGTGGACAATTGTGGCCATATAAAGAACCAGATAAACTGACCATAAGAAACCTCTCCCAGTCCTCATAATGTTCAAAAAACGGTAAGACCCTTTTGAGGGATGGGCGTTGAATGCATCTTCATGACACACTTGGAAACTTGCAGTCTTGAGCAGGCTAACAAAGTCATACTCTTGGTTAGTCCTTGTGTCTGCTGCTACTGCTGCTGCCACTGCAGCTGGTGGGGGCTTCTTGGGGGTTCCTCCCAGCATTAGAGGGCACTAGAGCTGAGGTTTGGGAGCAGAAGCCCACACTTACCACAGGCCAAGATGGGGTAATTGGAACTGGAGTTGCCTTCTTGCTGTAAACAAGCAGAAAACTGGACAAACTGGATGAGGAACTTCTTCCTGGAATTTGGCAAAACACTGTATGGGATTGGAATGCTTCAGGAAGGAAGCTGATGGAGTGAGTATGTTCTTACCTGGGTGCAATTTCTAGACTATGGCATCACTAGGGACAGCCATGACAGAGCACAGGAGAGGGGTCCCTTCTGAGTTAAGAAAGAGGAGTTTGGGGCTGGAGAGTAGAGATGAGGAGTGTTTTGCAAGGAATGGAAAGTGATTATTACAAGATATGGAAACCAATGGGACAGGATAGAAAGAGGCCACGTTAACTAAATAAATAAAATTAAGAATTTTGGAAAGATATAAGTTAGTATCCTTATCTGAAACCCCTAAGTGTTTTGAGTTGCAGATTTTTTGTTGTTTTTGTTTCTGTTTTTTGTTTTTTGAGACAGGGTTTCTCCGTGTAGTTTTGTGCCTTTCCTGGAACTCACTCTGTAGCCCAGGCTGGCCTCGAACTCACAGAGATCTGACTGCCTCTGCCTCCCAAGTGCTGGGATTAAAGGAGTGCGCCACCACCGCCCGGTGAGTTGCAGATTTTTTAAAAAAATCTGAGAATGTTTAAATGTGTACAATGAGATATCTTGGATATGGGATCCAAGTCTACATATGAAATTCATTATGTCTCATATACATTTCATACTCAGAGCCTGAAGGTTATTTTTATATTTTTAGTTCACTTATGGTTTGACTGTGACTTGTTACAAAAGGTCAGGTGTGGAATTTTCTACTTCTGGTTATCAGTACCAAAAAGTTTTGAATTCTGAAGTACTTCAGATTTCAGATTTTTAATTTGTATGAAGAAAATGAAAAGACAAAACACCTTAACAACAACAAAAAAATTCTCAGCCGGGTGGTGGTGGCGGCGCACGCCTTTAATCCCAGCACTTGGGAGGCAGAGGCAGGTGGATCTCCGTGAGTTTGAGGCCAGCCTGGTCTACAAAGCGAGTTCCAGGAAAGGCACAAAGCTACACAAAGAAACCTTGACTCGAAAACAAACAAACAAACAAAAAAAAACCCAAAAAATTTTCAATACGTATGTGCACCAAAGGACATTTTCAAACTATGTTTAAATTTTTTTACAACTCACAGGTGGGCTGAAGACTTCAAGAAAGGAAACATAAATGACCAGTAAGTACAGAGTACAAAGATGTTTATCACAAATCAATAGAAAATACCACCTGGACTCTGTGAGTTCAAAGCAAGCCTTCTGTACATGACAAGTTCTATGCCAACTAGGATTATATAATGAGACCCTGAATCAATCAAACAAACAAGTCCCCAAAAACAAATTATATGATGTTTGCTCAAAGAGTAGATCTGCTGTGCAATATTTAACTATGTAAAGGTGTGTTACATTTGTTAATGCTGTGGAATATTGCTTTAACCCTGTAAAGATGTGTTACATTTGTTTATGCAGTGGAATATTACTTTAACTGTGTAAAGATGTGTTACATTTGTTTATGCTGTGGAATATTACTTTAATTGTGTAAAGATGTGTTACATTTGTTTATGCTGTGGAATATTACTTTAATTGTGTAAAGATGTGTTACATTTGTTTATGCTGTGGAATATTACTTTAATTGTGTAAAGATGTGTTACATTTGTTTATGCTGTTGAATATTACTTTAATTGTGTAAAGATGTGTTACATTTGTTTATGCTGCATTTAATTAATGATGTAAGGATGTTTTACATTTGTTTCACCTTGCCTGCCTAAGGCACCTGATTGGTCTAATGAAAAGCTGAACAGCCAATAGCTCGGCAGGAGAGGGATAGGCGGGGCTGGCGGGCAGAGCGAGTAAGCAGGAGGAGGAGAGAACGAGGGAGAAGGGAGGGACACAACTGGGGCCAGAAGCCAGGCAGCCGCCAGCCAGACATGGAGACAGCAGGAAACTAAGATATACGAAAAGGAAGAAAGAAAGATAAAAAGCCCCAAGTCAAAACATAGCTAAAGAGAAACAGATTAAAATAAGAGCTGAGCTAAGAACGAGCATTCAAAACCAATAATAAGTCTCCGTGTCATGATTTGGGAACTGGGTGGCAGCCCCCCAAAGAAAAAGCCTGGTACATAGATCTTCAATGTCATTGCCAAACACACACAAACAATAGCTATGTTGTTGCTGCATTAAATAAGTGGTAATAGTTTTATTATCTATATGTAGGCCAACACATCATGTTGTCCATCTTATATATAGCTTTGTTGGTTATACCACAATAAATGGAGAGGAAAATAAATAATATGGAGATGGAACTCATAAACTTTAAAACAGACAATGGAAGATGTAAACAGAACTTTGCTCTGCATAAGTAAGATTTCATTTTATTATCACTTTAAAAATTATGTCTAAAGCCGGGCAGTGGTGGCGCACGCCTTTAATCCCAGCACTTGGGAGGCAGAGGCAGGCGGATCTCTGTGAGTTCGAGGCCAGCCTGGGCTACCAATTGAGTTCCAGGAAAAGGCGCAATGCTACACAGAGAAACCCTGCCTGGAAAAACCAAAAAAAAGCAAAAAACAAAACAAAACAAAACAAAAAAAAGCAAAAAAAAAAAAATTATGTCTAAAAATGATCCAGAATCTCTCTTCGAGGAGGGGATGCTCAATTTTGTACTCACTTAGGTTATGTAAAGGGTTTGTCAAATTATAATAATACCAAGAAACAACTACATATGTTGAGCAGAAGCCACATGTAAAGGAGTGAACGTTGAATGGTACTACTTATGTGATATTCTAGGACAGGCGAACACTGTCTAGTGCCAGAGAGCAGATCCCTCATGTCCAGGGTAGGGGTGATAGATGTGAAGGTACACAAGTATAACAGAAATGTCAAGTAGCTTTATTTTGTGGTATTTTCAAGGGTTTATATATTTGCTCAAACTAAAAAGTATACCCTAAAATATATGCATTATATGGTGTGTAAGTTAGACCTCAATAAAGATAGTTAAAACAAAGACCACATGTTTATGTGTCAGGATAATCAACCTGCCACAACTTCTCAATTAATATATGATCTTGGACAAGGTCCTTATTTAAGTTCAAATTCATTACCTGTAAATTAGAAATACTATGAGGATTTAACAAGATTCTGAGCCATTTCAGGGTCTGGCATGAACCTAAAAATCAACATTCAGGAGTTTTCCCTGACCATGTTAAGAAATAATATGGTTTATAATTCCCTTGTTCTTTTGAGAAGCTGCCTCTGAAGTTATCAGGGGACATGTGTGCTCCGGCCACCCACATATTATGCAGGAGGAACACACCAACCCAAGTTAATCAACCTGAAGAGAGAAGGCTCATTTCATCTCAGCTTTGGAGATTTCTGTCCATGCAGGTTGGCCCCAGGCTGCTTTGGGCCTGTGGTGGATATTTTGATGAGAATGTGTGATAGAGGGAGTTGCTCACTTCACGGTATCCAGGAAGTAAAAAGAGAGACAAAAACAGGCATCCACAATGTTTTTGCAGGGCACGCTGCCAGTGGCCTGTGTTAATTGGTTCCACTCTGAAACATTCCATCACCTCCGAATAGTATCACTCCAGAGTCCAAGCCCTTGATACGTAGGCATTTGGGAGACATTTCAGGTTCAGACTGTAGCATTATTCTCTAGAAAAGCATTTTCCAGTATGTAAACAAGCAGCAGGGGGAAACTGGATTAATTTCCTTTCCTAGCTGAGTATAATATCTTGCTCCTAGATACAGGGAAAGTTCTGGTTCTTTAAGACAAAAATCACATCTCCTGGGAACAAGGTGTCCAGTTATATTCAGGCTGATCTGCGTTAAAATGGACTCATTTGATCCAGCTAGGTGTCAGAACATCGTGTCTCTCTTGGACTCATCTGCGGTGTCACGTTTCCCGAAGGTTTCTGCCTTTCTTGTTTATGACATCTTGTCTGGCAACTTGAGCCTGCCCTGCCCATGGTTTGGTCATCTGCCACTTGCCTTATAATTACTATCTCACCAGCAACTGCTGTCTGAATTTGCCACCTTCTCACACATATACCATTTAATCCCAATCTGATTAGCAGATTCCCGGTGTCTCTGGTCAAACCTCTGGCCCAGGTGGCTCCTGCCTGCTGACCATGCTTCCCTTGGAGCCATCAGAAACATGGACTCTTCAGGTTGAATGGCTCTCCCCTCATACCTGGGAGAAGTACAAGCATTTTTGGCAGGAAGCTTATCTAAACTTCTAAGCTGAAGCATCGCTCCTACATTCCTGCATCCTTGCAAGGGATTCCAGTCTAAGATAAGAAATGCGAATGGAATGAGATTAACATCAGAGTTAGATGAAGGTGCATTTTATGCTGTTGGTACAACACCATTCTTTACTCGGCTGCTTATGTTCTTAGAGGAAGCCTTTCTGCTCACCAGAGTTTCTTCCACTTTAATTCCAGTGATCTTTGCATGTTCTCATGTCAATTTAAACACACATTCCATGATAATAACATGCAGAGCTTTCTTCCTGTTTCTTTGGGCAGTGTTGCATGATGTGGAGTCTGGGTTTTCATCTTGAGCAGATGTGGATTTGAGTATCAGCTCTGCTGTTTATTAGTGCTATGGCTCAGAGGAGAGCTCTCTGCCCTAGACAATCTGGGTTTTCTTTTGCTCATCAAATATGCCAATATCACCTCTCCTAGCATCTCTGCACTTGCTGCCCCCCTTGATGCTCTCCTTGTCTAGGTCTTCTGAAGGTAGTCTTTGTCGTTCAGATATCAGTTTAAATGTCATCTCTTAGATGGGACTTTCCTGACCACTATTTCCAACCTACCCAGCCCCAGTCTCTACGATGTCATCTTATTTTGCATTTCTTTGAGTATTGCTCTTATTTACTTATTATCTGATCATCTCAATTAGAGTACATAGTTTTCATAAGCAGGGCAAATCCTTATCGGTCTTTTCCTCCACCATTTCTCTAGAGCTTTGAATTGTACCTAGTCCAAACAAGGTAAATTCTTTAGAAGTGTTTGTGGAATGAATCAATAAGTCAGCATCTCTAAGCTTTAGTAAAATACAGACCATAATCTTTCCCTTTAGGGTTAATGAAGGTTAACATTTATGAATAAATGTTCATGGAGGGACTGAATGTATGTGTGACATGCACTAAGTATGCTATAAAGGATAGACCTAGTTATAGCTATTTCTGCCCACTATTCTCTCCTTTCTGTTGTAGAACATTATTTTAAGGTGTGTTACTTTTGTTTATGTTGCATTTGTTTAACTCTGTGAAGCTGTGATACGTTGCCTGTCTAAAACACTGGATGGCCTAATAAAGAACTCAATGGTCAATAGCAATGCAGGAGAAAGGATGGGGGGGGGGGCTGGCAGGCAGAGAGACTATATAGAAGGAGAAATCTGGGAGAGGAGAGATCTAGGAACAAGAGAAGGAGGACTCCAGGGGCCAGCCACCCAGCTACACAGCAAGACATGAAGTAACAGTAAGAGAAACAGAAGTAAGAGAATGGAAAAAGCCAGGAGGCCAAAGGTAAAATAAAGCTGGCTAGAAATAAGCCAAGCTAAGGCCGAGCATTTATAATTAAGAATAAGCCTCCATGTGTGATTTATTTGGGAGCTGGGTGGTGGGTTCCCAAAAAGAGAACAAACAACATCTCTCTAGTACATAAATTCTCCTAGGAACTTTGTACATATCATATTTCTATGCAAATGGGGTGAACTCAGTAAAACCTGGTTTATCTGTTTATAATTCACTTGAGATAGGGGTCTCACTTGTGGTCAGGCTGGTCTCAAAATTCCCAGACTTAAGTGATACTACCAACTCAGCCTCCCAAGAGGCTGGGGCTACAGGTGCACACCACTGTGCCTGTTTATAAATTTAGTCAAAATAAAATTTCTTCTTTTTTTAGTGTAAACTTTATGGTAGTTCTTTTTTTTTTAAATTTAAGTCTCTACTTGTCAATTCTCTGCCCTATGAGGGTTTTCCTGAGTGTTTCACAATGGCAAGTTCAGGAAATTAGGTGACTATTTTCTGTGTGACTTTGACCAAAGAACTTACATATTTGATTTCATTCATACACTTGCAGGTAGAGCTTCCTCTCCTAGACTACACATGCTTTGAATCATCCTTATTGTGTTCCTACTGACAGGCCCTGGGCCTGGTGGCACTCAGGAGAGAGGCACGGAGGGACTGGACTGTGTTGGGAGTAGAACAATGGCATAGTGATGAAGGATGAAGATTCTGGATCCAAGGCATTCAAGCTCAACCTCCAGCTTCTGAATGTGCCTACTCTAAAACAGCAGACAAAGTACTTTATGTTTCTTTGGCTCCAGTCCGTTATTCATAAAATGAGAATATAAACATGAATTTCACTGTTATCATAGGATTATAGTAGTCTCTTCACATGGGTTTCTTTAAGGAGTATCTTCAACTCTTGATTTCATATAGATGTGACAGCACATAGATCGTAGAAGACATTCAATAGCAGTCACTGAAAGATATGCAAATTAAAGCATTTTGGCAAACATAATTAAACAGGTAGGTAGAACTTGTCCCTTGTAACACATATAAATATATTTTAGTTAAAATATTTAATTTAGTGAAGTATGACTAATTTTAATTTTTCAATTTCATAATCATTCTAGTAGATGAAGTAAATGTGAAAATGTCTGAGAATGGATTTATATTCTACTACAAATCAATATATTAGACACTCTTAGAATATAAATTAAGAAAAAGATGCTTCGGTGGTTATAATTTGGGAAGTCACTAGTTTGAACTGAAAAATCTTTTGAAACAAATACTTTGCCCCATATTTTGGTTCTTTTGTCCTCTGTTTCCTTTTTTGTGCACCTTCCTAATGTTCCCACGAGCTTTAACTACAGCAGCAATAAAGTCCGAGTTTATTCAAGATGTTCAGAAATGTTACATTTCCTTAATTAACAAGATGGGATGTTCTCACCCATCAATGAATAGCTAACTTGAATGTTACACCTAAGGGTTATTACAGGTCAGTTGTAGAGTCTCCATAAATGAAGTTTTGGCAACATACAGAAATCCGTCTGGGCTTGGTATAAAGCTCAGTGGTAGAATACTCACCTAGCATGTGTGATGCTCTATGTTCAGTTCCCAAGAAGCCCCATGTTTCCCCAAAAACACCTGATTAGTTTAACCCTTTCTAAGTGTTTTTCTTTATCTATTTGGAGAAAACTCATATAGTGCACACAACAGGTGATAAAATATTGTGTGTTGCATCCACAGGAACAGAAAGAACTTTGCCTACCTACCATAAAACCAGTGTATTTTTCATAGGCGTTATCTTCAGCTATGTGATACTATACCTGAGATAATCTATTGAAAAGGAGTAAAGTCAGGGCTGGAGGGACGGCTTGGTGGTTAAGAGCTCTTGGTTCTCTTACACTGGACTTGGGTTCCGTTCCCACTACCCATATCAGGTCACTTGCAACTGCCTGTAACTCCAAGTTCCACCGACTTTAAGGCCCTCTGGTCTCCTTTGGCCTCCTGGGGCACCTGCAGGCACATGGTACACATAAACTCATACAGAACATAACAATCAACGAATACATCTTTAAAAGGGAGGAAAAGTTTAGGCTTGCAATTTTGCAGGTCTTACTCCACGGCTGATAGGCCCCATTGCTTTGGGGCCTATGTTAAGGTAGCAAGCACAGCATGGCTGAAGCCTGTTGCCAAAGAAGCTGTTCACCTCCTGCTAACCAGGGAGCAAAGCAGAAGAGAGGTTGGTCCTAATATCCTGTTCATGGCATGCCTCAATAACAGCACTTCTATTATGCCCCATCGCCTAAAGGTTCCACCACCTTCCAGCAGTGCTACGGGCTGGGAAGCCTTCAACACAAGCCAAGCATTCTTGGCAGCATTCTTGAAAAAAGAAAGCATGAATAACTCCTGCCATGACACACAAACTTTAAAGAAGGCTTCACAATGACTACCACAGAGTTCATTCTGATTTGATGTGTATTTCAACAGAGACGGGGAGAAAAAACCCTCATGTGCATTTCTCACAGTGGAATGAAATGTTGCACCAGGAGAATGGAAACTGCAGTTGGAAACTGCAGTTGGAGGCCAGGGGGCCTTTGGGAGGTCGTGGCACCAGCAGTGCCTGGGTGTTTTAGACCAGACTGCTTTCACTTGTCAACAGTGAAGCCTTTACCTCTTTCTCAAACCTCATCATGTAGACTTCCTTCCTTTTCAAATGCTGCATAATAATTATAAATAAAGTTCTCTATGGATGATGACACCATTGACCATCATCAGAAACAGGAAGCATTTTAGGATTGTGTTCCAGGAATGAGTTTAGGCCCCACAGATTTTATTCAATGAGACCTTCTTTTTTCTTTTTTCTTTTTTTTTTTTTTTTTGGTTTTTTGAGACAGGGTTTCCCTGTGTAGCTTTGCGCCTTTTCCTGGATCTCGCTCTGTAGACCAGGCTGGCCTCGAACTCACAAAGATCCACCTGCCTCTGCCTCCCGAGTGCTGGGATTAAAGGCGTGCGCCACCACCGCCCGGCTCAATGAGACCTTCTTACAGGCTTAATGAATTAACTATTTGGGGTCATAATATATCTATGGCCATAGAACTGGGAAATGTACAAAACATTGATCTGAACCTCACAAGCTGAAGACAATAACTAATTTGACATTGTTTTGCTCATTCATCCTTCATACTATTATATCATGAGCTCTGTTTTAGGTGCTGAAGAATTTATGCTACTTGGGATAAGCAAAAAAAATTTTTTTTTTTTTGAGCCTATGGCTTACAGTCTTAGGTGAGAGACAGCAGCTGACTGGAGACCACTTGTGACACAAGACTGCGTTTCTGAATACTCTATGGCAATACAGAGGGCGAAGATGAGTCTTTAGACTTGGGTATAGCATGTGCTAGAGGAAGCATGGCAGGCAAAGGAGACTGAGAAAAGATGGCGTGGCTGAGTCTCAGAGAGGGAGAGGATTGTGGTATGCAATTAGGCTAGAGGGCAGGCACAGACAGACACACAAGGATTTGGAGGAAAAAATGAGGACGGACTTTCATCAAGGCTATCTGCTGATCAGATCTATGTAGATGTAACCAACCTTCTTATTAAATAAGAAACACAGAACCAATGCAAAGAAGAAAGCCAAGAGGTCAGAGCTAAGAGCTAAAACCTTACCCTTCCTCCTGCGGTGGTCCTACCTCTCCGAACCAGAGCTACTCCTGTGTTAAAGTCTTTATATAGAGTTCCTGTCCTGCCTTCTCATTGGTTGTAAACCCAACCACATGACCGCTTCGTCACGGCCTGTCTGTATAGGCCTCCAGGTTTTCCATGATTGGTATTGAAATTAAAGGCATGTGTAGCCAATACTGGCTGTATCCCTGAACACACAGAGACTTACCCAGCTCTGCCTACCAAGTGTTGGGATTACAAGCGTACGCCACCACTGCCCTGCTTTCCTATGGCTTGCTAATAGCTCTGACCCCGGGGCAACTTTATTTATTAACATACAAATAACATTTTAATACAAATAAAATATCACCATAGATCTATGGAAGGTGATGGTAGTTTCAACAGTGTGGTATGGTAGTAGATGAAGCGGATTTGAGCTGTTTAGGAGATAGACATGTTATTCAAGCATGATTCCTAGGGTTTGGTTTGAGGAAATGAATATGGTGCCATTTACTGTGACAGGAAATAGGAGAGGATAAGGCTGGGAGAGAAAGAGTGTGGATTTGATGTTAGACATGCCAAGTTTGCAAGAGAAAGTGATCAAGCAGACATCTGAATATGATAAAACACAGACAGCTAGCACTGTGATGACACAAACATTCTCCACCAACTGTCTAGCTGCGTGTGTTTTAGCTATCACACACACATGGCCATTTAACTTTAATTTAATTAAAATAGAAGCATTTGAGGACTGGAGAGATGCTTTTCCAGAATGCGTGGGATTGATTTCCAACACCCATGTTAGAAGGCTCATGACTGCCTGTAACTCCCACTCCAGAGGGATCTGACACCTCTGGCCTTTGTAGGCATCTGTACTCATTTACACACACACACACACACACACACACACACACACACACACACACACACACACAGAGAGAGAGAAAATCTTTTAAAAATTTAGTCTCTCTGTTCTACTAGTCACATTTCAAGCAGTCAATAGCTGTATGTAGGGGTTAGATGTAGCTCAAAGGCAGAGAATGGCCTTGACATGAAGGAGGATTTGGGGTCTATCCTCTGCACAGGGAAAAGTTCTTTGTAGTGTAGCTAGCAACTTTCATATTTAAAAAATAGCCCGGTTCCAGAGCTCAGAGCAGTCCAGAGTTGGGAATACAAAACTCTGATGCTTGTGCAGATAAGGTTTAACAGTCTAGTTAACAGTCACGAAGAGAATGGTCAGTCAAATGAGGACGTGGTAGGACTGAGAATCAGTCAGTTACCTTCAACATGCAAAGACCAATGAAGAACAGAAGGGCTTCCAAGGGCCCAGAGAAGCAGCAGTCGGAGAGAGAAGGAAAAGAATAGCCTTAAAGGCAGAGGAAAAGTGGTACAGAGGAGACGGGAGGAGCACCAGCCACACGCTGCCTCCAGGAGGGTCAAGGGCAACGGGGCAGGACACGCTTGTTCCCTCCGTGAATTAGAGATTTCTGGCCACTCCCGCAAGAGCTGGTTCAGTGGAGGGTTGGGATGAGAAGCAGATTGGATGAGGAACGTGAGGGCATGCAGAGAGAACTGGTGACAGAGGATAAACTTAAGAGCTCCATATTCCACAAGTTGCCAATGCCATTACATTCACAGTTCAGTCTGGTAAAAGAGAATCAATATTACAGACAGGTCTTTAGAGCATCATACCTGCCCCTCTAGGTTACCAACTTTGAGTACTTTGTCATGACAGTGAGGAGGCTCGCATACTGTACTTCTCTCTTATCCTGACAGTCTTGGAGCGGGGGAAGGGGGGATCACACAAGGGCTCAGAGGCCATGTTAAGGAGTATCGTTTAGCCTTACAACCACAGAATGTGGCAGAAGGCATTTCTTTCCTTTCTGTTATCTAGAATTTAGAGAACACACAAGAAGACAGAAAAGTATAGGCCTCCACGTCCACTAACTTGGTACCTTCATCCTTCAGCCCTGCCCCACCTGTACCCTAGCCACAGGATGGAAAGGTTTTATGTCTGAGAGCAACGTGATTACATGGGAGTTGAAAAGATCATTCCTGCTGCTGGGTACACACACACACACACACACACACACACACACACACACACACACACACACACAAACAAATTGTATATTTTTGTGGCTCAAAGCTTTGGACTGAAGCCATCCTTTTGCCCCAGTCACCAGAAGAGCTGGGACTATAGGCCACTTCTCAATACTAGACAATAAATATTTAAAGCCTTGCAGGCCATACAGGTTTTGTCATAGGTGCTGGACTCTGTTGTTCTGCCCGGAAAGCAGTCCCAGACTGTATATTAATAAATGTGTGGCTGTGTTCCGATAAAATATTACTTACAGACTGAAATCTTCATACCCTTTTAATATGGCATAGATCTTTGGATTCCCTCCCTCATGATTTAAAAACACAAAAAACATTGTTTGAGGGGGTGTGGACTGGGCTGGTGGCACAGGTTTAAAATCCCAACAACTTGGGAAGTAGACACAGGAGGATGGTATGTTCAAGACCACTCTGGGCAATTTAACAAGATCTGTGTCAAAATAAATGTAAAAAGGAAGAAGAACCCTGGAGATATAGTTCAGGGGTATTTTCCTAGGTTCAGTCTCCAGTACTGCAAACAAACAAATCAGAAAATAAAAAAAATCATTTTTTGCTCCATAAGCAATATAAAAACAGGTGGAGAGCAGATATGGCCTGTAGTTTGCTACTCATGACACACTAGAGCAGAGTTTCTCAACACGTGGGTCATGACCCCTTTGGCAAACCTCTGTCTCCATTACAATTCATAACAGTAGCAAACTTATAGTTATGAAGTAGCAATGAAAATAATTCTATGGTTGGGGGTCAGCACATCATGAGGAACTGTATTAAAGGGTCACAAGCATTAGGAAGGTTGAGAACCACTGGATTAGAGAATGATTGGAGGAGAAGATGCAAGAAGACCTGCCCAAGGCAAAAGTCAAAAGAGTCAATATACCTAGGAGGCAGACAGCGAGGGACAGGAAGGGAGGGAGAGAGATTTGTTAAGTACTACCACTTTTGCGTTTATGAGTACCCACTGTGCCGTAGGCACAGTGTTAGGGCTGAAGCTGCAGAAGTGTGTAAGTATTACTTGCCATTGAATCCAGTTAGACGTGAGCTTCTGTCTGTCATGTGTCATGTGTCATGTGCTACGACATGGCAGCATGGAATGTAGAGGTTAGTTCCTCTTGAGAAACATCAAATAGCACTTTCAAGAGTCACATTTAGGAACTTCAGAGATGCATAGAAGCCTTGTCATATAGGCTAAGTGGCACACTTCAAACAGGGAATACAAACTTCAGCCCCATCTCCTGGTCTTTGAATACTGCTGATTGAGGAGAATGCAGGAAAAATACAAGGTGAGTTTATAGGCCAAGGAACCTGTTAAGTAGCTATGGTTGACAACAATTAATTGTGTATTTCCTTATAGGGAGATTTTGAATGTTTCTAGCACAAAGAAATGGTAAATGTCTGAGGGGAAGATGTGCCAGTTACTCTCGTTTGATCATTAGATACTGTATAAGTATGATGAAATACATATTGTACCCATAAGTATGTACAATTGCTATGCACAAGGTAAAATGTATTAAAAAGTAAAGTTGTAAAGATGGATTATCTGGGAAGGACAATTGGATCATTAAATTGTTCTAGATGCTCCAGGCCCTTGCTTCATTACATCTTCTGGCTCTTACCTGTCTCCTTCATCTTCACACAGCTCCAAGCCTTTTCCACTTTTTTAAGATGCCAAACACAAGACAGGCCCTTCACCCAGAGTCCGACCTCTTCATCTCTTTATTCCTCAGAGGCCTCCTCTGGTCTCCCTGTCTAAAACAGAAACTCTGCAGTTAGGTTTACTTAATTGCTGTCCTCTCACTCCAGCATTTATGATTACATCACTCATTTGCTCATTGTCTAGTTTCTCTACTCGGAATATATGCTTCAAGAAGGTAGGCTCTCTACTGCCTCTAAAATCTAGAACAGTGCCTGGCAAACAGAGGCACACAAGAGTGCAGTTCATTCTCCATATCTACAGGTCCTGCATGTGCAAAGTCAACCAACCTCAGGTTGAGTATTTTCAGGAAAAAATTGTGTTGGACTCGAACTTGTGTAGACTTCTTTCTTGTCCTTAGCTTGTTATAGGACAGTATCTGTAAGGAATTTACATCGTATCAAATAGTATGAATAATACATAGGTGATTCAAAGTATTCTGGAAGATATGTACAGATTATATGCAATTTGATTGATTGATGGACTGATTGACTGGGTCTTGCCCAGGCTGGCCTTAAACTCTTGATCCTTCTGCCTCAGATTCCCAGTGCTGGGATTACAGGCATATGCCTCCATACTCGTTATGCAAGGGATTGAGCATTTGAAGATTTTGGTATCTAGGGGAAATACTGAAACCAGTCATCCCTGGACATGGAGGAATGATTGTAATAGTCAAATCAAAAAGAGAAGTAGGAAGAGAGTAAGGAAGGCAGCTGAAGGAAAGAGGGGAGAATGAAACTGCAAAGGTGCAGGATCTGTAGTCTTTATCTTATTGCCTAAGTAACATGGGAATGCATCTCCCGAGAGAGAGGGAGTCAAGGTTTGGAACATCTGTGGGAAATGGGCAAGAGCAGCATGGGGAAGACACATGCCAAACAGATAGGTAATTGCACTGTGCCTAGGGGTGGGGTGAGGTAAAGAGAGAAGGCAGCTCCTCCCTCACCAGCTTGTGGTAATTTCATTTATCTCTCTTGGAGTCAAATACAGAATTATGGGGTGGGGAGGACCAAGTGGAGGCTCTTGGAGGAGTAAATTGGTGAAGGTGGGAATATAGAAAAAGTGAAACTTGGAAGGCAGCTGCCAACTCATCAGCTATGTGCGACTTACACAGAACTGAAGGGAGTGGAAGGAAGCATAGACAAGGTTTCTTCAGTTTCGTTCTACTATGATTTAAAAAAAAAAAATCCCTCAACTGTAAACATACCTGATATTTGGCAGCTGGAAATTCTCAGTTGGCTGGAAGTGAGTTTCAGGACAAATTGCCAACAACTGTCCCTTTTCCTCTCCCTTCCCTTGGGCAGGACATTTGTGTCAACAACAGTGAAGACAAACAAGTGGAGTATACTATTCACATTCTTCTGTCCTTGCTTCCATTTTTACTGCAATGTTTTTTTTAAAAACTAATCCAGTGTTGCCAATGTTCATAATAAACACAATGTACCATGTGTAGTCAGTTTTCTGGTAATAATGAGATAAGTTCCCCATTCCTTGACTTGTTGAGAACTGGAGCATTAGTGATCAATAAAAATTCTTTTTCTGGATGACTGTATGTAGATCATCTCTCAGGCTGCTGTTTGTTATAGGAAAGAAATGAAAACAAGTAGAATATGAGATTTTTAGTGTAAAATAGTCCCTGTATCGTAGTAGGACAGGCCCATAGGGTGAGGAAATTGGCTCAAACCAACTGCCAAGGCATGCACATAATGTACTTCCTTATGAGCCAACCTGGAGTCTGCTCATCTGCTCGAGGGCCTAGCAATAGGTGCTGTCAGAGTTCCTGATCATGCGGAGTCTGACTGAGGGCCTAGCATCAGGCACAGTCAGAGTTCCTGGTTGCTGTCAGAGTTCCTGATCGTGCCCAGACAATGAGGGACAACCACATAATGCCACCAGATTGGGACACAGCTTGGGTGCTAGGAGGAGGGTATATAAGGCTTTTCCCATTATTGAATAAATGAGTTTGCTACTGCTGTCAACTGACTCCCGATGTCTGTGTTGTTGACACTGTGCTTTCTCACTCTCTCCCCTGAGGGAGCCATTAGGATCCAGCAACACGGTATGAACTGCTAGTAGCTGAAAATGACTTACTCTCCACAATTGTGCAAAAACTCAGTGTTAGATTTCCTTTATTTTGTTAAGATTCTGGAAGTTAACATGCTCCTGATTGATTTCCTTTTTCATGAAAACTATTCTGTTCAGAATGTTATCCATCTCAGTTTGTGGCAACTTTCATCCTTCAGGACAAAGATCTTAAAGTTATTCTTGACTTCTCTCACATTCCATATTTAATTTGTGTGGAAATCCTGTGGGTTCACCTGTTAAAGAATAACCCTACATCTGACCACTTGTCACCACATCCACTGTGATCATCCATACCCAAGTTACTTTCATCTCCTGTCTATGGTATTATGAGTGCCTCCTACAGATTCTCTCACTTTTGGTCTTTTTTCTAGTGGCTGGAGTGATCCTATTAAAATATGATGGTATACATCTCTTTTTCTCATTGTTTCCCTATTGTCCTAGTTAGGGTTTCTATTGCTGTGAAGAGACACCATGACCACAGCAACTCTTAGAAAAGAAAACATTTGAGACTGCCTTACGGTTTCAGAGGTTTAGTCCATTATCATCATTGTGAGAAGCATGGTGTCATGCAGGCAGACATGGTACTGGAGATGGAGGTGAGAGTTCTACATCCAGATCGGCAGGCAGCAGGAAGAGAATCAGACACACTAGTCCTGGCTTGAGCATTTTGAGACCTCAAAGCCCACCTCCAGTGACGCAATGCCACACCTACTTCAAAAAGACCACAAAACCACACTTCCTAATAGTGCCAGACCCTATGAGCCTATGGGGCTCTTTCACTCAAACTACCACACCTATTTTACTTAGTAAACACTAATATCCTTATAATACTAGTCCACAAGGCCTTGGTTTACTTGACTATTTTTATTTTATGTGTATGGATGTTGCCTGCATGGATGTCTGTGTACCATGTGCATGCAATGCCTGTGGTGGCCAGAAGAGAGCAACAGATCCCCACCCCAGAACTAGAATTAAAGGCAGTTTTTAGCTGCTTTGTAGGTGGGTGCTGGGAATCAAACTCAGGTCCTCTGGAAAAGCAGCAAGTGCTCTTAGCCACTGAGTTACCTTTCCAGCCCCTACAAAATCCTTCACATCACCCTCTTATATCCTACTACTCTCCTCAGTCTCAAAAGATATGTTGGCCTCTTTTGGTGGACCTGAATACACTAAGCAGGCTCCTCTCTCTGGTGCTAAGTATTGGCTGATCTGCTTGGAAATTTTCTTTACATACTCATGTGGTTTACTCCTCCATCTCCTTTAAGTTTGTGCTTTTCAGTGAGGCCTGTTTTGAATATTCTATTAAAAAATACACCTCTAAGCCTCATCCTTTTACAGTCTATTTCCCCACCCTGATAATATATAAATACAATTGGTTTTTAAATAAAATATTATCAAAATACTTAAATGCTGGTTTTATTGTCTATTCAACTTTTATTTTGTTCATGAATTGATCCACACAGTACTTAGACTACCTAGTACATAGTTAGCATTTTGATTAATATTACTGAATAAATGGAGGTCTGGATTTCCTTTACTTAACTCAGGATAATCTTAAAATAAACACTCAAACTAGGTTTTGCTAGAACATTAAATTCTGGTTGCACCAGTTAAAATTTCATATTTAGATATAGTAGCTGGGATGGTACCAATAGGGAGTTTGATGGCAATTTTGATTAAGGATATGTTAAATTAAGAAATAATTACTCTTATACTTGTTTATTTATGTACTTGGAGACAGGGCATGTAGCCCAGGCTGGCCTCAGACTTCTGATTCTTCTTGCCTCAGCCTTCCCAGTGCTGGGATGACAAGCACTACTCCAAACAAGGATTGCTCATTCCTTCTGTTGCTGAAAAAAAAAAAAAAAAAGAGTCTGGAAACAGCTCGGTGATAGAGTGCTTGTTTAACATGAATAAGCTCCTAGTTTTAATAAGAAGGACAACAGAGACCTATTCTGCCAAGCTGCCCAGGCAGGCCTTTTATTTGGAATCTTCCTGCCTCAGCCTTCTGAGCAGCTGGGGATATAAGTCTGCGCCACAGGTTAATTTTTAATTTAGTTTAAAAAAGATATTTTAGCCGGGTGGTGGTGGCACATGCCTTGACTCCCAGAATTCGGGAGGCATAGCCAGGCGGATCTCTCTCTGTGAGTTCGAGGCCAGCCTGGTCTACAGAGTGAGTTCCAGGACAGTCAGAGTTGTTACACAGAGAAATCCTCTCGAAAAACAAAAAAACAAAAAGCAAAACAAAAAACAAACAAAAGAGGGTGTGTGTGTGTGTTTTTTGTTTGTTTGTTTGTTTGTTTTTTTGGTAAGGGCTTACTCTTTCAGCCCAGGCTGGCCTCTACACTGCAATCCTCCTGCCTCAGCCTCACAAGCACTGAGATTACAAGGGTATGCCACTTGTATTCAGCTGGCTCCATTCTTGAAGCTACATAAATCCAGGTGCTTCATTCTATTTCGTTTTCGGGAATCTTGTGTAATGATATAGAATTCCGAGTGAGCTAGCATGGGCTACTTAACCTGAAAAGAGCTTCTGGGAGTTAGGGGTCCTGCAGCCTGTGTCTCTCTGGATGGTAGAAGAGGGCTCCCCAGCTACCTCTATTGCCCTCTCTCAAAGCGAAACACGGCAACTTTGCCAGCGTGTGAGCTTCCACAGCACGAAAGGACGATCCTTGTGTCAAGTTTGTGGCGTGTGACAAGCTGAAGAGCGTCTCAGAAAGCTGTTTGACACGTTTCCAAACCCTTGACTCTTCAAAGCATACACAACACCTCCCACGTCAGTAACATCCAAGTATTTTTTTCTCCTTACATCATAGCAAGTAACACTTTAGAGGAGGCCTTGGACCTGGCCTGAGGACGGGAAGGAAGGACACATTCGAGAGCTCCTGCCGTGAAGAACGTGCTGGGGGCCAGGCGGGACTCGCGAGGCTCCATTTTGCCGGGCGGTCGGATCCCCCAGGGCTCCCCGAGTCAGGTGTGTCCCGTGGCGCCGCCGGGCCGCTCTGCGGCCAGCGCCTGGAGGCAGGATCACGGTTCCTAAGGCAAAGGGCTGTCTTGAGCAACTCGGAACTGCCGTGGAGGCGAGGGACACAGCCCTGGGCTCCATCCCCCGGTTTTACGATTATTGTTCTCCAGAGGCGCCGCCTCCCCGCTCCCCGGCTCCGCCTGGAGGCGCACACCGGAGCAGCTCCGCCGCGCCCCCGCGCCGACACTTTCCTCCCCAGGCGAAAAGGTTCCGCCCCCTCCGGGCCCCGCCCCCAGAGTCTGCACATGCGCCCTCGTCGCCCCGGCCCGGCGCTCCCCCTCCCCTCCCTCGAGCCTCCGGGCGCGCCGCGGGCGGGGCCTGGCGGGAGGGGGCGGGGCCAGAGCGCCTCCGAGGGGGCCCGGCCGGGATTAGTTGGTTTCGGAGAGGAGGAGGAGGAGGAGGAGGGAGTCGCGAACGCCGAGACAAAGCCGCGTCGCGTCCCGGGGACCGGCGCGAGGAGTGGGCCCGGGGCTCGGTGGCGTCCCGGTCGGCTGAAGGGATTCGCGCGCCGCTGCCTTGCAACAGGTCGGCCGCCGGGTGCGCGGCCTCGTCCTCGCTCGGCTTCCCCGGGCCCGCGACCCCCGGGCCACTTCTGCTCGGCCAGGCCGCGGCCAGACCCCCGCTTCCATGCGGTTCGGGTCCAAAATGATGCCGGTAAGCGTGTGGGCGTGCTGGGGCCGGGGCGTGGGGCCCGGAAGTGTGCGGGGCGCGGGGGCCGGGTCAGCCGAGCCAGTCGAGCTCGGGGGTTCGGGACTCCGAGGATCCGTTCCGCCCGGTCCCCGCGAGGGTCGCGGTGCTGCCTCGCCGGTCAGGGCGACAGCTCTGGGCCGCCGCTCCAAACTTTGCCTCTCGGATTGAGACCTTTTAGGGGTTGTTTTGAAGGTCAAGAGCCAGAGAACCGGGAAGCTTGTTCTTTCTTTTAATTGTTTAAGCGTTTTACTTGGAGTGAAGCATAACGCTTGAAAAGGCTTGCCTTTCTTTTTCTTTATTTCTGCTGGTTCTCTTTCCCCCCCTTTGAATTTCGATCTGATGTTGGCGAGAGCAGCCAAGTCACACTATCTCTTTGTGGAAACAGGTTTTAGTAAACGTAACCTTAAAAGTTTTAGTTCGCAGGAAAACTTCTGTGCCTCGCTCCCACAGCTTGCTCTGCAAGACCTCGGAGGAAGTGGAGTGAGTTCTTTAGGCATCTGACTTGGTCACCAGACAGACCACAGGTGATCTGCAGGTTAGATGGAGATGTTTCCGAAAAGCCATTTTTCTTTAGCGAGAGCAAGATTTGGCTGGTTCTGGTGGCTCTTGTAGTGGATTTCCTCGTGGGTTCTATATTTGCTCCTTTCTCAGGCGGAATCATTCTTGCAACCAACTTGAATTCTTTTTTTAAATAATAATAATTTTTATATATTCTTTGCAAAGTTTATGTATTTTAATACCCATCCCTAACCACCCCCAACCCATGTTCGTATAGCTTTACTTGTTTAAGAAAACAAACAAAACAAAAAAAACTAAAACAACCCCTTTTTTTGCTTTTGTAAAATCCGTGGAATAGAGTGATGAAATCTGTGTGTGTGTGTGTGTGTGTGTGTGTGTGTGTGTGGTGTGTTTCTATTTTGTTTTGTTTTTGTAATTACACATGCAGAATATACTATATTGTCTTCTTGTCCCCTTGTGTTGTGGAAGAGTGTACATTTTTCTATCTTGTACATATCCATAATAATTTTATTTTGGGGGTTTAGATGGCTTGGCATGGTTTTTATTGGTAAGAGTCAAGGATTTGGAATTGTTAGCGTTTTGTATCTTCTGATTTAGTACTCATTTATGGAGTTAGGTTTGTGATGTGAATACCTCATAGTAAAATACATATCTTGATAATGATAGGTTTTGTTAACTCCCCACCCCCTCCAGCACCCCCCCTTCCCAGGGTTTCTCTATGTAACAGCTCTGGCTGTCGTGGAACTCACTTTGTATACCAGGTTGGCCTCAAACTCATAGATGCCTCTGCCTCCAGAGTGCTGGGATCAAAGGCCTGAGTCACCATGCTGGCTCTTTGTTAACTTTTTTATTCCTTGTGTTTTTTATTTCTTTGTTGTGAAAAAACTTTCGTAGGTTGTTTACCAGTTTTTTTTTTTTTTTTCTGAACAGTAAAAGGAAAAGAATAGGTGTTTTTGTTGTAGTGTGACTTCTTCCTGAAAGATCAGTTTAATATCAAGGTATCCTTTGTTTTGTTTTGTTTTTCTTTTTGCTTTATGTAGGGATGTTTTTCTCCCAACTACATAGCAGATCATCAGAATTCTTATAAGAAGTTACGAATCTTGGGACTAAAGTCACTTAAGTAGTGTGGTTCTGACTGCTTTTCTGATGTCAGAATGTAATCTTAATAGAACAGGTGTAGTGTACATGATGCCCTCTGGAATTTTGCGTAGCATTAGTAATCCCAGATGTTAAAAACAAAAACAAAACTGTTTCTCTGCTTCAGCATCTGTAACTTAGGGATGATAGAATACCAGTTCTTGGGGGTAGTTTGGAAGATTAGAGTTACTGTTTATGAAGGGAGGGATTAATACAGTGCCTGGCTTGGGATAGGTGCTGGCAAACTCCTGAATTGGCAACCATGATTACACATAAGATTTTTATTCTGTGATACATAAAAATATGATAGATTTTCATTTAGCAGCCTTGTGTTCTTTTTACAAAAGATTTATTGTATGTATATGAGTGTTTTCCTTGCATGTATGTCTGTGTATCACGCGTGTGCCTGGTGCCTACAGAGGTCAGAAGAGGTCATCAGGTCCCCTGGAACTGGAGTTGCAAATGGTTGTGAGCTGCTATGTAGATGGTGGGTATGGAACCCAAGACTTCTGTAAGAATAACAAGTTCTCTTAACTGCTAAATATCTCTCCAGCATGCAAGCCTCAGGTTGTATGTGCCTTTATACTTGTATTATCAGGGTATCTGAAAAGAAAACTTTTGTGTGTGTGGTAGGAAGGATGAAACCCAGGGCCTTGTATACATGCTAGACAAGCACTCTGTCACTGAGCTATAAAGCCCCTGAAAGTATATTTTGGTTCTTTGAGATAGACCTTGCTGTGCAGTACCTGGCTGGTGAAGTACCTACACCCAGGCTGCCCTTTAGCTCACGGCATTTCTCCTGCACCAGCATCTGGAATGCTGGGATAACAGGCATGGGCCACCATTCCCGTCCTAAAACCATTTTCTTAAATGTGGTTTTCATCTTTACCTTTTAAAAGACTTGGAGTTTTATTCTAATACAAGTCAGGTTTTGTTGTATTTTGTTACTACTTTGGAAAACTAAAAGTTTATCAGGAAAAGCATCATGCTAATGGAAAGATGGGCACTCAGAGCTAGACCAGTTGCCTTGATGTGCTTTTTTTTTAAATGTGGTAAAATATACATAATTTAAACTTTTACCTTTCTAACCATTTTCAAGAGCAGTTTTGTGCACTGAGTGTACTCCTTGGTTGGCTTTGGAAGGCATTCTGGAGTTCTGTTGCATTATATTAAATACACACAAAATGGTATTCATGTATTTTCTCACCCAATAGCACAGACTCAAGTAGTTTTCCTTTATGTGGGACATGAAGTGATAATTGGTTCCAAAGCCAGAAGTGAAGCTGCGTTTTAGCAGGCTAACTAAAAATAAGTCAGAATCACAGCGCTAATGAGAGGGTAGCTGTGCAAGTGGGAATGCTGATCGCTCTCGCTTTCAGCTACCTGCCGTGGTTAGCATCTCTTGTTCTGAGCTGTGCACCACTCAGTGAGGAGAGACTGACTTCGTAGTGGACACCTCACCGTCATTTGAGAAGGGCCGTTTGTGCCTGGACAGGGTGGCTCTTCAGTTTGCCATTCATTGTGACTGATTTTCAAACAGAGGCAATTATCCAAAACAAATTCTCACCCACTTGAAAATTATACTAAATTTCTTTCATTTATTACTTCCATTTTGTGAAGTATTATATTCCAACAAAAATACATTTTTATGAAAGAGCTTATTGAGCTCTGAAAGTGTTTACTGCTCTTTTCAGAGAACAGTTTCATAAAAATTTCATATCTGCTATTGAAGTGGTAAATTAAAAAGCAAAATCTTCCTGTGAAGAACTCCACCCTGTGATCGCCAGTGTCCCATAGAAGGCCAGAGGACTGGGATTTGCCTGTATGGAGCATTTGGACATACTTGTGTAGACAGTGGGGTGTGCTGTCCTGTGTTATCTGGCGGTACCTCGTACACAGTGTGGCTATTGTGAGTGAAGAACTGAACTTGAAAAATGATTTCATTTTAATTATGTTTAAATAGCTGTCTGTGCCTGGTGGTGACTGTTTTGTATTTGCAATCAAACCAAATGTCATCATACTACAGATAATCTTTCCAGACACACTAGCTTATTTTAAAAAGCTCAGTTGATCTGACCACGGCTTAGTTTTAAATTTGTGGCAATTTTTCCTGTCAGTGCTGCAGGGGCGTAATTACTTGGAGTTAGTTGTTTTGTAGCGCTGGAGAACAAAACCTGATTCTTTGAGCTCTGGCATCAAGAGTGCTAATTGGTTATCACGGTGATTCCTTTAGCGGTTTGACACCTGGTCAGCACTTTCTCTAGTCTGCAGTTCTGCTCTGTGCGATTTGTGAAGTCTACAGCCCAAAAGCTGAACTTCTGCTGAAGTACTGCATCTCCTTCTTTCTTTCTTTCTTTCTTTCTTTCTTTCTTTCTTTCTTTCTTTCTTTCTTTCTCTCCCTCCCTCCCTCCCTCCCTCCCTCCCTCCCTCCCTCCCTCCCTCCCTCCCTCCCTCCCTCCCTCCCCTTCTTTCTTTCTTTCTTTCTTTCTTTCTTTCTTTCTTTCTTTCGGAGCTGAGGACCGAACCCAGGGCCTTGTGCTTGCTAGGCAGCACTCTACCACTGAGCTAAATCCCCAACCCAAGTACTGTATTTTCAAAAGTCCAATTTTATTTGCAATATTTTCCAAACTGAAATTTTTTTTTTTTTGGTTTTTCGAGACAGGGTATCTCTGTGTAGCTTTGTGCCTTTCCTGGAACTCACTTGGTAGCCCAGGCTGGCCTCGAACTCACAGAGATCCGCCTGGCTCTGCCTCCCAAGTGCTGGGATTAAAGGCGTGCGCCACCACCGCCCGGCTGAAAAATTTTTTTTAAACTTAAAAAAAAAAAAAATCTT